AAAAGAATATGAATTATTTGCACAATCAAAGGTTTAACATGACATATATTAAATTCAAAGCATACCAGTAGATGGAAATACAGCTGATCCTTGAATAAGGAGGGGCTGAAGGGTGCCAATACTTTGGCCGCCTCATGCGAAGAGTTGACTCATTGGAAAGACCCTGATGCTGGGAGGGATTGGGGGAAGGAGAAGGGGACGACAGAGGACGAGATGGCTGGATGGCATCACCGACTCAATGGGCATGAGTTTGGGTAAACTCCGGGAGTTGGTGATGGACAGGGAGGCCTGGCGTGCTGCAATTCATGGGGTCGCAAAGAGTCGGACACAACTGAGCGACTGAACTGAAGTGAAGGGTGCCAAGACTGCAGACACTAGAAAGTCCACTACATCTTACAGCTGGCCCTCTGTATACACACAGGGGGTTCTCCATACCCAAGTTCCTCCCTATCCACAGCTCTGCATCCTCGGATTCAACCATCTTCAGCTCATGTAGCACCACAGTTATTTACTATTGAGAAGATCCACATCTAACAGGGCCTACCGTTCAAACCTGTGCTGCTCAAGGCTCAACTGTATGAAAAGTATTAATGAAAGAAGAGTAATGAAAAGTATTAACAGCAGTTGCTTCTGTAAGGAACTAATATGAAGCCTTTGTTTTCTTCCCTTTTGCCTTTCAAAATTTACAGGGTTAAGCGTACATTTATAAGAGAAAATAATTTTAACCCTTCGTAAATTCATTCTCATGATATGAAAATGGGAGAGGGAACGAACAGAAAATAAAAGAGGTATAAGTACCAGAGACAGAAATAGGGTTCAGGGTATACTTGTGGAAACAGCTATTTCTGGTCACACTACTCTTCTTAAAAAATTTTAAGAAAGCCGTGCGTGCGTGCCAAGTCGCTTCAGTTGTGTACAACTCTCTGCGACCCTTTGGACTGTAGACCCCATCCTCTCTTCATGGGAATCTCCAGGCAAGAATAATGGAGTGGGTTGTCATTCCCTTCTCTAGGGGATCTTTCCAACCCAAGGATCGAACCTGTGTCTCATATATCTCCTGCATTGGCAGGCAGGCTCTTTATCACTAGAGTTACCTGGGAAGTCCAAGAAAGCCATAGCCACATCTAGTCCCAGTGCCAGAATATTAAAAAACAGTAGTCTTCAATGCATGCTACAAATGACAGTACATTCTCTGACTACACAATATACTTGAATTTCAAAAGAATGGGAGAACTGTACGAAAAAAGAAACCAGACTTCTGTTAAAATCCATTTGGCTACCAAGTAACAGACTAAAACAATGCATTCTCCCTATCTGTCACATAATGCCCAGTGAAATACCCTTGTTGTTGCTGAAAAGATTCAGTCCAGAGGAATAGAAACTTTTTATAAAAATCAATGTCAAAGGAAAAAAAATCCCTCCAACAGGAAAAGAAACTTGGAAACCAGAAAAAGAAAAAAAATCAAGCTGAAAGATTTTCACAATTCAATTATTTGAGTTTCTGTTCCAGACACAAGTAGTGATGCTAGTGCATATGGGCTGTTCTAGAAGCTCACACATATATTAATTTTTAAAACAAAGAGGAAACAAATGAGCACCTATTGGGAATACACTGCAGATGGCTCTCCATAAACATTTAATGAGTGAGTGAAATCATAAGAATTTTTATATTTTTTATGAATCAGTTCTAATGAGATGGATGAAACTGGAGCCCATTATACAGAGTGAAGTAAGCCAGAAAGATAAAGACCATTACAGTATACTAACACATATATATGGAATTTAGAAAGATGGTAACGATAACCCTATATGCAAAACAGAAAAAGAGACTCAGATGTACAGAACAGACTTTTGGACTCTGTGGGAGAAGGCGAGGGTGGGATGTTTCAAGAGAGCAGCATCGAAACATGTACATTATCTATTGTGAAACAGATCACCAGCCCAGGTTGGATGCATGAGACAAGTGCTCAGGCCTGGTGCACTGGGAAGACCCAGAGGGATCGGGTGGAGAGGGAGGTGGGAGGGGGGATCGGGATGGGGAATACATGTAAATCCATGGCTGATTCATGTCAATGTATGACAAAAACCACTACAATATTGTAAAGTAATTAGCCTCCAACTAATAAAAATAAATGAAAAAAAAAAAAGAATTTTTATATTTTTTAAACACAAAAGGAAGACCTTCAACTGGGAGAGAAGAAACCAGCTGCCAGGGAATACAAGACAGGTTTCTATGCTGTTATCCATGGGATTCCACCCAGATGTCCATTATACTATAGAAGAGGTATTTTCCTCAGAACAGCTCTTAACTTGTAATTTCATATGCTTTCTGATGCTGATATTTTTCAAATGGTTCATAATACTACATGGTCTTAAGCTTTTCACATCCATTATGTCATTTGCATGGCTGAGATGCTTGAGGAAGAAAGTATTATTAACTCTATTTTGCAGATGAGATTATTGAAGCAAAAAAAAAGGGGGGGGTTAACTAAAAAGGCAAGGTTAGAAAAAAAACAGGCAAGGTCACAAGTAAGCTTGAGAAACAGAAGTAAAACCACCCTCTAGTCCCTCATTTTAGGCAAGTTGCTGTTTAAAAGACACTTAAAATACAAATCACTCCCACCCACCCACTCTTCTCCACGATTTGCTCAAGCAAAACAATTAAGTAGACTTTAAAGTGAACAGGAAATGACAGAACCAAAAATAACTGGGGTGTGGTCTCACCTCTGAAAAAGATTTCCAGCTGTGAATAAATGCAAACAATTCTGGCCAGACAAGATAACATTAGATCAGGATTTAGAACCCAATACAACCAGGGGACCTTAGCTATAAATACAGTGACACCTTACTTTCTTAGAATAAACCTCAATATTTCAAACTCAGGAAAATGTAGATAAAAAGCAAGGTAAGTCACCAAGAAGCCACAGCTGCTGTGCTCAAGTTCTCATGCTCAAGTTTTTACATACTAGACAAATCCATACAATCTAAGAGCTTGAAATCATTCATGTTTCATTTCTTTAAGAGTAATCTGATAACACAGTCATTTATAATTTTACCAAAAAACAGATTTGAATCATACAGACTATGAGGGTGTTCACTTAACTATGGGCATGCCTAGCAATAAGTCAGCACCTGCATGTTAGCTGCATTTTATTTTACTTTACTTCTGTATTTAACGATTTGAAAAAGTCATTTTAAAATGACCTTTATCTCTTTTATATCATTTCCTTTATAGCTTATTGCACGTTATGGTAGAAATTACACGCTACAATGGCGATCAGAATTTGAGATTTGTAAAGGTCTGAGGACTACCACTAAGCTTTACTCAGATCCTATTTATTCTGACTTGACACACTATTCTGGTTTATCTGGTTTCCCTGCCTACTTCAGCTTATAAGTGGCAGATTAGAAGGGCATATTTTGACAGATAAAGAACAGTACTGAAGGAGATAAACTAAAAACAGACAAAAGCACTAAACTGGTATAGCAGTGAGGAGTCATTTTAGCACAGGAAGAAACTGCCAACACCCTTATATAGCAGAATGCACCGGCCATATTAACTGCATAGGACAGAAATTAATGTACATTATGATGACCTTGATTTATCAAAGAAGATTGTTTAATAGATTCTAAATCTTAAGAGATGGTTATATACCCTTGATGAGTTATATACTATGAAAACTGACATTAAGATGGTCAAAATAATTTAGCAGTTAAAGGGCTATCAGTTATATGACCAATTCTCTTAAATTCCTAATGATACTAGACAAATGCTGAGGAGGTAAATCTCAAAATTCCCATTATATTTAATAAATATCATATAGTGTAGATAATTAACATTTATGATCAACACTTATGATGATGACTTTCTGGGTGGAAACTACATGATACATTAACATTATATACTGCAGACAATCAACATTTATGATGCTTAATGTTTCTGGGGGGGTGGCTAAGTTATAACTAAAACTCTTCCCCTTCATTGACCATTCAATCATTTTTCTTCACTAAGAGAAAAATGTTTTCTCATTACCAATCTTGGTTTCTTTTCTCCATATAATTACCAAAATTAAAAAATTAAAGTATTTTAAGTTCTCCCCACTTACAACTAACCCCTTTATCTAGAGGTCACTTACACACCTGGATCTTGCTATATTCCCTTCTTACAAAATAGTGCTTTCAAACCCAGTATTAAAACTCAGAGAGCAGAGTTGTACTTAAGTCTTATGTCTGAACAAAAGAAGCACATAAATTAGTGGTTACGCTTAAACCACTAATTTTATTTTAAGGGCAGAAACAACTACAACATAAGAAACACTTTAGTCGATGTTGGACACCTGAATCAGAGAATATCATTCTCCACGTCTCTGTGGCCAAAAGGAAAATAAAACACCAACAACCATGTCAAAAGATCTGTAGATCCTTTTCAAATATCATAAAATGAATTTATTTGTATTCATTTCACTATATTGTTTCTTTTAGTAATGACAGTGACGTGATGATCTGGAGAAAGTGGTATTCATACTTTAAAAAGGTTGGGAAAGGGGCAAGAAAGATCTGACCTTTGAGAAGAGGAGCGGTAGAAAGATCTCACTTGGAAGAGCTTACTTAACACCCTGCCCGCATCACCCTAGATGGCTTCCCCCAGGTAAGAGACTAAAAAGATGGAGATCCAGGCTCTTCATGGGTTGATAGGATTAGAAACACCCATCATGCCTGGAAATCCGACACTGCTGGAGATAAATGAGCAATCCCCAGCTAGCTACTGGTCCAGGTGCTACAGAAAACGCCCGGCGCCCCCGCCGGGCAGCCCCGGTGGGGATCCCCGCCTCCCGTCTCCCACACCCTCTCCAGATCCTCCTCCTGGATGGGCGCCGCCCGGGACCCCGCCGCCCTCCCGACTCCCGTCCTCGGCTCCTTCCGTCCCTCCGGCCCCGAGCCATCGCCCGGCCAAGGGCCGTTTCCCGCCGATCGACTGGAAGGCCTGGCCCGCTTGGCACCTTTGATGACGCGTTCGGTGGTGGAGAGGTGGAGGTTCCTCCCGGACATGATCCCCTCGGCCTCCTCCCGGTCCGGGGAGATCTCCAGACGTGCGCCTCCGCCTTCGCCTCCAGTGATCTCGACTCCCCGGGGCCGGTCAACCGGCCGTGCCCCGGCCCCACTTAATCAGGGCGGCCCAGGCACCAGAAGGAGGCGGCCGCAGCAGCCCGGCCTCAAATCCCACGGACACTGTGCGGGCCCACTGACCGCTCCCTCCCGAGGCGCCGAGTCGGGAGCGCAGGCGACAGCAGATCAGTCTTTACCCTTCGCGCGGAGGCCCCGGGCCCGCGCGGCCTCCCTCGGTACACGCGCGCTTCCTTCCTCTCCTCCAGCTTCCGAAAGTCTGTCTTCCCGGTCTCCTCTGCCTGCCCTCCCCTGCAGCTCTGACTGCTTCTCGGCTGCCTGCGCCTCCGGGCCTGGAGCACCTAACACCGGGCCCTGGGCCCCGCACCCAAAGGCCCAGCGGGACCGCGGCCATCTTGTGACCCGGCCCGAGCGACCCGGCGGCTGTCTGACGGAGCCGCGCGCATCCTGTCCGCCTGGGATCACCTTGCAGGGCGCCCTCGGCCTCCCCGACCTTCCCCGCGGCGGGGCCTCCCTCCCTTTCCTCGGGGTCTCCCCTCCAACTCTGTCTCTAGGAGTCTTTTTTATCAGTTTGATCCAGCTCCTTCCCACAGCTTACCCTCCCCCCAGTCACCACACCCATTTAAACCCCTGGTTTTTTAAGTTGTCACATTTGTCGAGAGCACTTAGTATAGTGAGAACGATCGCGTGCATCCTAGTTCTAATCTCGTAGTGGGAGGTGGAGGGGGTGGTTTCCGAGTGGGTGGATAGGAGCCCCCCACACACACACCCCGCCACGTCCCACAGCCTCCTGGCTTCCTTTCCACTTGTCAGAAAGGGGACCGCAGCCCCCTCAGCGAGTCCATGGGCCAGACCTCTTCTGTGCAGGGAACTGACCTGTAAGTTCTGCGCGCCACCTACACGGCTAGAAGCAACCCTTCCCCTTTGACACAGTGACACAGTACCTGCCTCCCCCCTCCTTCTTACCGTGGAAAACGATGGGCAAGTCTCCGTAGAGTCTTAATAATCTGGCTCATCTCTAGGTTAAAAACTGACCTTTTCTCTCCTTGAATTGCAAGCCTAGTATAGAAAGTGTTTTCTAGTATAGTGCCTGGCAAAGACAAAAGTCTTTTAGTCCTGATGGTGGAATGTTAATGGAGAAAGCAATGGCACCCCACTCCAGTACTCTTGCCTGGAAAATCCCATGGACGGAGGAGCCTGGTGGGCTGCAGTCCATGGGGTCACTAAGAGTTGGACATGACTGGGCATCTTCACTTTCACTTTTCACTTTCATGCATTGGAGAAGGAAATGGCAACCCACTCCAGTGTTCTTGCCTGGAGATTCCCAGGGATGGGGGAGCCTGTTGGGCTGCCGTCTATGGGGGTCGCACAGAGTCAAAGTGACTTAAATGCACGACTGAAGTGACTTAGCAGCAGCAGTGGAATGTTAAAACTGGGATCCAAGGAGGTATATACAAATTACAGGGAAACCGATCTTAACAATCACTGTGGTGGCCAGTGAGTAGTCTTGAGTGGCTCTGTACATTTAAAGTAAATAAAACAAATATTTATTTCCTCAGGTGTACTAGCCACATTTGGAGCATTCAGTAACTACATGTGGCTAGTGACTATCTAATTGGATGTGGTCGGATAAGACTGTCCCGCTGGAAAAGACCCTGATGCTGGAAAAGATTGAAGGCAAGATGAGAGGAGGGCACAGACGATGAGACAGATGGTTCCTTGGCATCGCTGACTCAATGGACATGAATCTGAGCAAACTCTGGAAGATAGTGAAGGACAGGGAGACCTGGCGTGCTGTAGTACTTGGGGTCTCAGAGTCAGACACGACTGAGCAACTGAACAAGAACAACAGACTAGGACACTTCCATCATCGCAGAAAGTTCTTTTGGACAGCTCCCAGCTAAAAGATTATAGAGGTTAACCCAAATCTCCTTTAACATAGATTTATGTAATGGGACCAACCTAGACAGCGTATTAAAAAGCAGAGACATTACTTTGCCAACAAAGGTCCATCTAGTCAAAGGGAGAAGGGGACGACAGAGGATGAGGTGGCTCGATGGCATCACCGACTCAGTGGACGTGAGCTTGAGTAAACCCTGGAAGTTGGTGATGGATGGGGAAGCCTGGCCTACGGGGTGGCAAAGAGTGGGTCATGAGTGAGCAGCTGAACTGAACTGACGGATGTAATGGGAGGTGGTCTGGGCATATGCCCTAGAGTCAGAGTGAGTTACGCTTTGCAGGTGTTTTAATTGGAGGTGAATCGCTTTACACTGTGGTGCTAGTTTCTGCGGTACAAGGGAGTGAGCCGGCGGTGTGCATACAGGCGTCCCTTCCCGCTGGCGCCTCCCTCCCACCCTGCTCCCATGTCCCACCCCCCAGGCCATGGTGTGTGAGCGCAAGCGGAGCTCCCTGCTCCCCCCACTAGCCGTCTGCCTCACACACGGCAGTCGTGATCTCTCAGTTCAGCCACCCTCCTCGTCCCACCTGCGTCCACATGTCCCTTCTGCGCAGCTGTCTCAATTCCTGCCTGTGCCTTGCAGTTTTGACCTGAAGGCAACTCACGGCAATTCTAGCAAGGCAGGAGCACTTCAGGAAGCAGACGGATTTCGGTTCTGTGTTCTTGGGTCTTGATTTCAGGCTTTCACCAGAGAGAATTGTTCAGAGATTCTGAGGAAGTTCTTCAACTATGAAGTAACCAGAGCTCCACGCCTCTATCAAACAGAGCAACTTTCTAGTGGTCAAAAATAAATTGGTTCCTGCAGCATAGTAGAGGCTAAAATTCATCTAGAAGAATGTACACAAGATGACTAAAAAAATTTAAGAAACACTAGAAACCAACGTGAAGAGATGGGTTATTCAATAATAGTAGTGGGAAAGTAACCAGCTGTCTGGGTCTCAGATATATCTTTGCTCATTTTTGTTTGGTTGGTTGATTTGTTTTCTTTGGTTTTTGGTCACACTGGGAGGCATGCAGGATCTTAGTTCCCTGACCAGGGATCAAACACATGCCTCCTGCAGTGCAGGTGCAGAGTCTTAACCACTGGACTGAGCTACGGAAGTCCTTGGATCTCAAAGTGGAGCCACATTTTAACACCAAACTTCATAAGTAATAAATATGAGAATTAAATCAAGGTGTTATTTTTTTACATAGAAAATTGGAAAATATTTTTATTTTTATTTTCATAGTTTAAGGAAGTCACTACATTTTATTTCTTGATGTTATAGATTTAACAACATATTGGTAGCAACATGTAACTTCTCACTTGGATTAGACATCAAGAGACCAGTTTATGTATATAAACTTAAACACTGAAAATGAATACGTTCAGCTATTATGGAACTTAAAACAAATACAAACTTGTTAACAACTTTCCAGAAAGCACAAAAGACAGTATTAATAAAGAGTGGTCTTTTGCATCATTTTCAAAAATTCTCCCTTGTTTATTTCTCCATCCCCATCATGATCAGCCTCATCAGCATTTCCTGAAGCTCATCATCTGTTAAATCTTCCCCTAGTTCCTCAGCAACCCTCTTGATATTGTTCAGTGATACACTTCCTGTACCATCATCAAATAATTTGAAAGCCTTCAGTATTTCTTCTTTTTCATCCTTTTCACTCATTTTTACACTCATTATGGCAAAAAATTCTTCAAAACTAATGGTGCCAATTCCTTCTTTGTCAGTTTCAGCTATCATCTTTTTAATTTCTTCTTTCTTTGGCTCAAATCCTAAGGCCCGCATTNTACCCTTAAGCACTGCTGAAGCCCAGTACCCTTAAGCACTGCTGAAGCCCAGTACCCTTAAGCACTGCTGAAGCCCAGTACCCTTAAGCACTGCTGAAGCCCAGTACCCTTAAGCACTGCTGAAGCCCAGTACCCTTAAGCACTGCTGAAGCCCAGTACCCTTAAGCACTGCTGAAGCCCAGTACCCTTAAGCACTGCTGAAGCCCAGTACCCTTAAGCACTGCTGAAGCCCAGTACCCTTAAGCACTGCTGAAGCCCAGTACCCTTAAGCACTGCTGAAGCCCAGTACCCTTAAGCACTGCTGAAGCCCAGTACCCTTAAGCACTGCTGAAGCCCAGTACCCTTAAGCACTGCTGAAGCCCAGTACCCTTAAGCACTGCTGAAGCCCAGTACCCTTAAGCACTGCTGAAGCCCAGTACCCTTAAGCACTGCTGAAGCCCAGTACCCTTAAGCACTGCTGAAGCCCAGTACCCTTAAGCACTGCTGAAGCCCAGTACCCTTAAGCACTGCTGAAGCCCAGTACCCTTAAGCACTGCTGAAGCCCAGTACCCTTAAGCCTGTGCTCTGCAACCATAGAAGCTACCACAACCAGAATTCCATGCACCACAGCAAAGAGTAGCTCCTGCTCACCACGACTAGAGAAAGCCTGCACGCAGCAGTGAAGGTCCAGTGCAACCAAAAATCAAAAATTAAAAAAGAAAAGGCTGAAATGAAAAACTCCCAACATGTAAGTGTTGGCAAGGATGGGAGCAACTGGAACTCTGCTGCATTGCTGGTGGGAGAGTAAAATGCTGCAACTACTTAGGAAGTTTGTTATAAAAGTTAAATATACACCTACGGTATTACTCAGTAATTCTACTCTTGGGTATTTTACCCAACAGCCATAATAACCCAGCAAAATACCCAATACTACTGAGATAATAAAAGAAAATAATTAATGGATGAATTAATCAAGTATGGATGAATCTTAAAAACATTATGGTGAACAAGAGAGGCAAGATACTAGGACCTCCCTGGTGGTCCAATGGCTAAGACTCTACGCTCCCAATGCAGGGGGTTCAGGTTCAGTTCCTGGTCAGGGAGCTAGATACCACATGCTGCAACTAAGAGTTTGCATGCCTGCAACTGAGAAGATTCTACATGCCTGTAGCTAAGACCCAATGCAGCCAAACAAATTTTTAACGAAGAAGCGAGACATGAAATAGACACTGTATGATTTCATTTGCATAGGAAAATGGTTAAATGAAGTATGACACTGGATGGAACATTATACTTTATGAAAAATCATACTTTATGTGGAAAGAGATTTGACATCATGAGAAAAATCTCAGGAGATAATAAGTACAATATGGACTCCATGTTATTAACAAACAAGCTAATGTCTGCAT